CCCCCCCCCCCCCCCCCCCCCCCCTCAACCCCCCCCCCTCGGTGTTTGCCATCGGGATTCGGTTTTCGTCGCTTGGCAACGACGTTGTAAAACAAGCCAATTCACTTCCTGAACTCGGCAACCAGGTTACCGTTTTCTTTTTTTAGCTCGTTTGTTTTTTGGCGGTAACCACAATGTGAATGGTGGTGGAGTAGATCATGTTGTGCGGGGTCGAGAACCCTCACTCCGCGCAAGGGGGATGATCGCACCACGTTGTGCTAAAATGGTCAAGCGTCCTCGAGGCAGTTACACAGTGCTTATGACTGTCTCTGGAAGTGAAAGCACCAGACCAGAAAATAAATTAAGTCATACGCAGCTAGCTGTCATCCGTACGCAAGGAAGTAAGCAAAGATGCCGAACACCCTGAGCAGGATGCAGCGCACCCTTCATGCCACTCGCCGAATACCTCACGGCGCTTCGCGCTTGGTGATGTGAGAGCCTGGTCCGGTGAGAACCCGGCGTGCTCCGTCCCGGCTTTGTAGGGATGCGAGGTCAATGGTCTAACGACTACGGCATGCACGACTATAAGGAGCACACACCCCCGCCCCCCCTACCAAGTTTCCCCCGGGTGAGCACCATTTCAGAGGCGAAGTTAAGTTCATCCGGTCCGCGGGGGGGGGGTATGACACAAATATATATTTTAGGTGGACTACAGTAGTTGCCGATGCCATCCTGGTGGAAGAGTCGTGACACAGGGGACGAATGTGGGAAGTTTCTTCTTGGCCTACCCTTCCTCATCATACCTTCCTCGTTTGTACTGATGCCTTTTTCCGTTCCTGTCTTCCCAGCGACAGATTCTTACAGAGCATGAGAACGAGAGCAAACACGCGGCTGGTTGCAGTTCATCATCAATGCCCCAACCTTCCTAGTACCAAGCAGATCAGGGGGTTCATACCATACCAGCCCACTGAAAAAGTTTCCTTGGACAGCGAAGAAAGCGTTCGGATGGCGCTTGTATTCGCCTATAAAGCGGGGCTCTTTGAGCACTTTCGAGGCACTCCCTACAACTTTTTTCGAGGCACTCCCCAGATTCAACTCATACGACGGTGGGAAGGCGTGGTAGCCTCCGTGGGAAGGCAGGGAGGCAGCAAAACACAACCTTTTTCATACATCTCACGGATGAGTTTTTGCACTTGACTACTTTCGGACACAATCTCAAAATCTCGCTCAATTCCTGCATACTCTTCCCCCATACAAATAACTATGCACTTCAAGTACTTGTGCCACCCGCCTGTGTGTTATGAATGATGCCGATGCCAGTCTATCTATCTTCCCTCCCTCCCCGCAGGCGCAAATCTGCAGCGTGGTTGTGAGAGTGTTTCGCCCTTCGGCGTACCGCCTTTGATATGCGGACGCCCGTTCAAGGAAGCCATCGCAGCCCCTTCGCTTCTGACCGGGCTGGGTTTGGATTCCTCCAAGCGTCTCTTGTGCTCGCGCCAGCGGCCGCGAGGACGAGGAGCGCCGTCGTCGGCTTCGACAAAACTTCCGCCCCTTGCTCCCGGGGTAAGTCCGTCGTGGAATCGGTCAACGTGCCATCGGAATGCCCGAAACCACAGCAGTGGGCAGAAGTGTATGGGCTCTCGCCAGTAAACTGGATACCTGTGATTGCTCGAATTCCCCTTGAACATGTCTGTGCTTCGCTAGCTAGTGTATCCATCGCCCATGCGCTCGTGTGGTGCTCGACTTTTCCGCCCACCGAAAAAACTAGAGCAGGGATGGAGACCATTCCTGCACGAAACCCTCACGGATAACAACCTGTCCTCTTTTCTTTTAATATCGCCCTGTAAGTCCTGCCACACACCGTGTTGTTGTTTGCACCGTCCAACCTCGAACTCCGCGCGAAACAGAACGAACTAACATCATCGTCCCCCTTTATGGACGGGAAGCTCGGCGACCCGTTCTTCGTCACGGGCGGCGGCAGCAGCGGCATCCACCCAATCGGCACGGAAGTCGAAGCGGGGGCCGGACTCGCCAACGACTTGAAATCCTGCGACACGTCTGACCACAAAAGGCCTAGGTCGACCCCCCTACCACTGCCTTCCAACCGAGGAAACTTCTTTTCGTCTGGAAGCGAAGAGTACACCTTGTCGGCGCGCCGAGATGTCAGAACGGCTGATGATGCGAACTGCTTGGGCCATCGCAGACTTTGCTTTCGCTCGGAGCCCATCCACGACCTGCATGTGGCTACCCTTAAAACCATCGACCCGACCGGGATCTACGGCATGTACCAGGAGTGGTCAAACATAAAAAACCGAGTTCTTTCAAGTGAGCGCTGTATTTTATTGTCAATGTTTGATAGCGAGCAGGTACTGCTAGTCTGTTTGGTTGTGCGACACGTGTTAACATCGCATACTGCACCGTGCGCTACTATTACGTTCACCAGTGCTTCCGTCGTCGACAGAGACATGGATACGCTGTGCGTTTCCTCTGATACCTACTTCCACGGGTCAAGCGCGCCCCCTACGTTCACCTAGTCGCAAGGAAACGTGTTTTCGTTAAAGACTTCCGTACGGAGAACACACGTAATGCACGTCCTACACAACCAACCACGTGCATGTGGAAATTGCGGGAAAATCTCAAGCGCACTCCTGTTCGTTTCAGGAGGATTCGCCGAACAGCGATCGGACTTGGCGCTTTACGACAGGCTACGTAAGGAGGCCGAAGACGACAAGGCTAGCTCCGACAACGATGCGAGCATCGACAATGCTGTCGTCGCCTCAGGCACTAATAGTATGGAGGAGGCTTATCGCACTCGCTCGCCGTCATCAGGTGTGGCACCCTGTGCGAATGGTCCTGGTTGGTTTATCTGTTTTCTTCGAGAATTTGATGAAAACTCCAAACACACGACGAACAATGGTTTCGTCAACGGATTGAAAGAGCTGAAACTGTGGCTCTTTTGTGCGGGAAAGGTGACGAAGAAGTTCAAGAATGGTATGGATGTACTTGTAGCCCGACCGCCCGATCATCATCGGATTCCGGAGCGTGTGAACGTGTAACATGTTGTTGCAACGTTGGGGGACGACAACATGCATGCGTTGTTGCTCCCGAACACGAATCATCCGCGACGGCGAAGTGATATCGTCTGTTCCATGAAAGTATGATAAACGCGCCGTGCCATCCTTACCGCACCTACTTGGAAATGCGGTTCGTTGTTGTTTGGGGTGGAGAACCTGACAGTATCGCCACCGCCCGCGGCCGAAGCCATCGACGAGAATGAATCGATACCTCCGGAAGTCGTACGCGACGGAAACGGGATAGCGGCGAGGGTGAGTCGCATATGTCCCCTACTGCAGCCAATTTGACTATTAAGATCGGACAGCAGTGTCGTAACCGGCTTCCGGTCCAGTGAGCGTGCTTACCGGTTGAATCAATCTTCGTGATGGAGTATCGTCCTCCTAGTCATCCGTAGCTAGTACCATCGAACCTGGGTTTGCGTCTGGAGGGTGTGCCTCCAAAAACTCCACGTAGAAACAAGCCAGTCGGGAAAGGTGCGAAGAACTTCGGCATACCCGAAACTTGATGTGCAATAGAATCGCAAAACTCGAAGTGAGTGAAATACATTGGCAATGTTGAGCACGGGACCTGAACAGAGAGACCGAGGACAAGCCCAAACACCCTCCAGGGGGGTTTGCTTGCGCCTGAAATTTGTCCAACAAGACGCCAGCTGCAGTCGTGCGTAGAAGGCTGTCGGTTTCGTTTAATAAAACAAAGGTTGTTTCGAGTGACCCTTTTCTCCTCCGTACGCTGGATGACCGCGTGCGATCGAACAGAGGCGGCGCCGGCGACTGAAAGATGCTCACTCGTTTGAGCCAGAAGGACACGCGGCCAACCTGGACTACGCGCGAAACCTCCACAAGGTATCAGAAGCAATAGTCTACGCAGGCTTTCCAAGTAAGAAAACATGCTGGATAAAGTAAAGGGTTAGGGTTAGGGCCTGCGCGCCTCCTGCCTGGTCTTTTTTCGTATTTAATACTTTCTTTGTGTAAGCAGTCCGTCAGAAGGGATTGGCACAGTGAATATGTGCGGACTCTCGAACAGCGTCGACTGCTGTTCATGCGACCACCACGAGCACGACGAGTTGTGGTATTTGATGTGAAGTCCGGAACTCTCATTTCCCTTTTTGTTGGACGATCTCCTTGCTGTTGTGATACGTCGGTCTGGGCGGTGGAGGAAAGGAGCCGGGCCTGCCGCCGTTGCGCCTCCTGCGCGAGTCCAGCGAGGGCGCCCTAAGACTGGCACACATGGCGCTCGGTGATCGTCACGTGATGGCCCTCATGAGTTCCCTCGACCACCTCCCCGGTCTCACATCTATCGACATTGCGGACAACAGGTACGTTGTATCGCTGTTGGCAGGGCTGCGAGGTTTGCGTCTTGTCCGCGATCAGAGCGAAACGCGTTCGGAGTGAGTTGTTGCTGTGCCCTACGCCATTCTCATGCAGGAAGTGATGATCATGGCCCCAGCAGACATAACGGACGAAAATCGCAACGAGCTTGACGTGTACAACTTGATTCTACGCCCCCTCAAATGGTCCCTGGGGCCTTATGCCGCCTATCGTACCGTCTATCGATGTACCGAAAAACCGGTGGATCGGGTCGCGAATGTGAACGAACAGGTTGTTCGATGTGCTGAGGTTTTTGCGTATAGGATTGTTGGGAGACGCAGAACGGCACACAATTTGAGATGTTTCGTCTCTTTGCTCCCCATGTGTAAGGTTGGGTTGCCAAGTCGCACACAGGCGGAACGAGTTCCACACGTATGAGAATACCCTTGCTCCGTCGGATCTCTTCGTCGACGCCAATGAGAATACCCTTGCTCCGTTATGAGCAAAGGTCCCTGAAGTGGTGAATAACCGTTCACCAACGGAGGTAATTTCGCTCTTATTGCAATGTGGCAAGGAATGACCAAGCGTGGCTGACGTTAGTCAGCCTTGCTAGGGTGAAAGGTGAGAGGGTGAGCTTCAGGGCTCGCTTCTACCCTCCGGCTGGTCACAGCAGACGGAGGGTCTTTTCGTTGTAAAGATCTTCAGACCTCGAGAACGTCGTTCCTGGGGTCACGGATCTACACGGTTGTATGTGCGTCCCTACTCCTGGGAAGATACCTATATCCTGGTTTCCACACGTATACATGTATATATGGCCACTATGGGGTGTTGAATCGTGAGAGATTACCGATGTGACTCAGACCGCAAGCAATGCCTATTTTTTCTCCCGTTGCCTCCTGCCCGCCGGATTTTTCCCTCTTCGCTGGCTTGCAAAACCTCACGGTTTATTAGTTCGCAATGGTGTCGGCTGTTCCCTTCTTTTTTTTATGGCAGGAAGTCCGTAGCAACTGACCACGGCCAGTGTGCGTATTATGACGACTGTTGTTCTTAAACCCAAAACCGTTCCTTGGATGTGCTCCTTCCTACTTGCTGCCGTTTCATCGCCAAGGATTGGGAGCACTGCAATGCGGACGGTTTTGGCCATAGCTGAAGCAAAAGGGGTGCTACATCTCGACTTGTCGCTAAATCACGTCGACCGAGTTTCCGCTGGTAAGGAATGGAGGCCAGCTCGAATACTTGAGTGTCTTCGGAGACACCCCGTTGTTTCCAGTTTCTGACGTACCTTCGTACATAATGCATGCACCCGTGCAACTTGTTGGCTCGCGCATAGCAATATGACGTCCGTGCACATGCAGAGCATATAAGTAGCGAACCCGCGTCCTTTTTGGCACCCTATGAAATATTGCTACGTGACCACTATGCAAGCGCACAACGTACGTCGTTGCAACGCATGTCCCTTCTTCCTTTCGTCAATCCCCAATCTCCCGGAATCGCAGGCGCTTGGCTTTGCTTGCATGTGTTTCCTTCGTATTTCTAGCCCAATCCCCCAAACCCTGTTCTCTTAATGCCGTTGAGTTGGCCAAATGCCTGACAAGGGTAAGGGGCAAAGAGATTTGGCGTTGTGTACGCGCCGAGAGTATCTTCAGTTGGAAACCGTCCTTATGAAATACGGCCGTCGGCGACTACATCTTGAAGGCGTACACTTTCTCTTGCACTCTCACTAAATTTTCGTTGTGAGCGAGGAGCGGCTGCTGTGTGTGTGACAACCAAGATCGAAGTACGGGGCCTGCTCTCGTCTTCCGTTTTCGTACTCCGAAAACATACGATCTCCCCTTTTCCCCTAATTATCCATTCTCGGTGGCTTGGTTTAAAAGGAAAGCGAGCAGCTTGAATGAGATTCTCGCCCGTGTCCTTGTTACCCTCCAGGCCTGCTCTGCAAGTACCTGACCAGGTCTTCTGGCCTGGTTTCTCTCTTAGTCAAGAGCTGTGGAATGAGTGCTCTTGCCTCGGCGGCGATCATGGTAGCCGTCGCGACAAACACGACCCTCAAGACGTTGAACCTCAGCGGTAACAACATGGGCGGAACAAGCGATCTTATCGCTTCTCATCATCATCAACAACGAGGTGAGCGGGGGAATACATGGGTACGGTCCTCTATCCCCACGCCAAACCAATCGTGCTTTCCATCTCAGCCCCGGTTAGCCGCTGCAGTGAATCCCTCCCCATGCGGCATCACAAATGCCGTTCGTTGCGTTGTCGTCACCGCGAAACTCCTGCTAAAGAGACGAAACGGTCGCCGATGACCTGTGTAGTTGATCGAAGAGTGGGTCTCTCTGCTGACTGTTGAAAGGTCTACGAAACTCATGTGCAACCTGTCTTCCATGGTAGTCTGCCAGGTGGTGTTCACGGCACAGCCGTAGTTGAGCCAGTGGCTAGCAACACCGACATAGTTGTCTACGAAGCATGAAAAAACAGAGAACCCCGGTACCCTCATTATTTTTCTTCAGCGGTAACAATGTGTGTTCTCGGTCGTGTTTTCTCAACCATTGTTGACTTCAATATTTGGTATTCGATGAAAGACGTTGCTTGCATCCGATCTACGTATACCTGCTGGTAACATGCTTCGTACCGAGTAGTCAGAAGGCTAGATTTGGCAAGATATTCGGTTCAAGTACGCACAAAGTGGTGCGTTCTCCGTATTCTCTCCTTCACGATCCCTGACCGCTGCTTTTTCTGCATCCCGTGGGGGCGGTGCGATTGCCGGCATCGCAAGGCCCCTCAGCTTACATCCAGATGTACGCGGCTTCCGAGAGAAAATAATCTCACGGAAGCGATTCAACCAAGATATTCACATTGATTACCTCGAGTGGTTCTATGGGCAACCTTTTTTTGTGCTGCCTTCTGACAAAGCAGGTTCAGCCGCGTCAGCCGCTGCCGGAGTCGGCGGCAGTGGGGGAGAGGTTGGTGGAGCCGATCGGCTGACAGGCGGCGCCTCAGTCGCTCTGGCTCTTGATTCGAACAACTCGCTGACCTACCTAGACCTTTCCTGGAACAAGGTAGGAGAGAGTAGCAACAGTCACCAAGCATCGCCTAAGAGGTGTTTCTGCTTTGAGTGGGCGACGTTTCAAGGGTTGATTTTCTCCTTCGGGGAAAACATGCTTTCAGTCATCAAACATGGCAGGCGTCGTTAACGTCTAATTGCAATTTTCGTGGACTAACCCAGACAACTCGGGGGTTGGACGGTGCCATGATCATTTTTTGTTTGGCACGGCATGCCGTCAATGTTCTCCTAACGCTGGCATCTTTCGTGTTTTATCAGCATCAAGATAGGTAGTTGATGTTGTTTCCCGCGTCGCCGTGCACAGTCCCAGGACGGTTGGTCAGGCTGCGAACTAAATCAAATCTTCGCTCTCCCACCCACCGCCTCCCGTCGCCAAAAGTTGTTTCACGGATCAGGAAACCATCTTGACCTTGTCTACACCTGTCTGCCTTGCCACTTGATGTCACAGATAGGAGAAATCAACGCGGCCCCCATCGGGTTGGCGCTCGAGAACAACCATGTAAGTTTATGGCCTCGTTGAAGGCGACCGTATGAACACACGTGAACAGGCCTCCGCCACCGTGTGCTGAATGTACACTTTTCTCGATGACATGACGATAGTACGCCTTGCGTGTTGAAAATATATACAAGAAGCATATTTTCCGAGTATTAGGCACGCTTCTCTACATATCATCGCAGGTGAGAACACCAAGAACAAAATTAACGGTGGTTGTTTCCTTTCAGGTACATCCGATGTTGGTAACATTTTCCGAAGTGAGTGTTCACCCGCAAGAAACTTCCGCCCCTTTCTCTAGGTTTGGCAAGGCAAGTGACTGCCTGTGCTATCAGTCCGTCCCAAATTGACTTTACCCGTTCCATGCGTTCCAACACTATTATTGTAGCTCCGATGGTTCCGAGTCTCGTCTGATTCGAGGTGGGCTCCAACCGAGCTCTCGGCCTCCCTCAACTTGTTCAAGCGCGGGGTCCCAAATTATTTTCATCGGTTTCCCGCCAGCTTAATGGTCTGCGTGAGGGATAATACTTATTCTCGACCCGCGTCCTTCTGGCGCACTGTTGTAGCGATCAATGATTCAACTCATGCGACTCGATGACTTACGTGTTCCGCTTATCATCCCACCCAGGCGCTGCGGTGGCTAAGCCTCGCCGGCAACAGGCTGGGTGACCAGGGAGCGTTCAGCCTTGGGGAGGCGCTCGGGGTCAACTGTTCCCTCACCCATCTAGACGTCAGCTTCAACGGAATCTCGTGCTCGGGAGCGGCAGCGTTGGGTCACGGGCTGAGAGGAAATACCGCCATCAAGAACTTCCAGGTGTGTAATCGCGGTGGAGAAAAGCGTGTCTGTCTAGGGAGCAACAGATTTATCTCGTGCTTGGCACAAAAGCTCCTCCAGATGTAGCACTTGCGATGCGTACGGTTTCTTCCACACAACTTCCAATCGATTAGAATTCGTTTTAACTTTGGATGATGTCGACATACCTGGTGCTCCAATAAGATATTCATCGTTACCAATATCAATGCGTGACGGGCGCTCGTAAAGTCGATCCGGATGCTGAGCGAACGTGAAACCTCAGGCTAGGTCTGGGCACGTGCGAGCGTCGCCTTAAAGGTGTGAGAATTATTGTTTGATCCCACCATCCGTTGTGACGTAGGTCAACGGGAATTTATTGGGATGGGCCGGAGGCCGTGCACTCTTCCGCACCGTCAACTTCTCCGAGATTCCGAGGATCATTGGCATCAGAGATTGCGATCTCGGTGAAGGGGACCTGAACGCCTTCGATCCCAGGTTTCCAGGCAAGAGAATCTTAACGATGCCGTAAGAACACAGGGCAGAGGCTCTTTGTCTGCAGCAGGTGATCTCGTGGTAACACGAAGAGTATATCGCGGATGTTTGAGGCGATGGGTAAATGAGAAACACGACATGAAGTCGAACTTGTCGGTGGTACAGTCCTCAAAGATCGCTCTGCCTCAGACGATGACAATCCGACAGCTCGATCCGACTTTTCCCGGACATCGACGTCGGGATGAAACGAGTCACAAGACGCCGTTACGAGGTCTGGATAAGAGTAGCAATTAGGTGGCCCCAGGTCGGTGTTGCATCCAGCAGAGGGTATGAGACGGGTGTCCATGGTGTTGCAAAGGCGGGTACAACACGAACGTTGTCACGAATCTGCGCAGGCATTGTATCTTGTCATCCTCTCTTCCCTCTGTCTGTCTGTCTGTCTGTCTGTCTCTCTCTCTCTCTCTCTCTCTCTCTCTTGTGTGTGTCTCCCTCGCCCCTCCCTCCCCCCTCTCTCTACCTCAACCCTCACTCCGTCCCTCTGCCTTTTCCTCGCTTTCCCCGCCCTTCCTTGTGTCATCTGAAACGTCGCGTACACTTCCGCAGGTGGGCCTTTCGACCTCGATCTATTCAACGCTAGCGAACGAGCCACGGCACAGGATATACTTTTCGCAGGGAGCTACCTCGCAGGGTGCCGCCTTGCAGAGGTAAGGTATTCCGAAAGCTCTACCACGGACAGCGCGGGAGGGGGCGGGAGCAAAGGAGGAGAATCAAACAGTCGGTGAGACGATAATCCTTTCCTACTCCAAGTCCTCCGCGCGTAAGGATAAGCTAGTACCCTCGCTCGTTGAGTGGGAAGTGCACTCATGACGGCTCTCACGTACTTTTTTATTTTTTTAAATTTCGTTTTCTTTATCAGCAGCCCCGCACATAGAAATATGTCGAAACCTTGGTGATAAAATAGGGTGATTTTATGTTCCCTGAACAGCGACCAAGTCTGCACCCATTTTCAAAGAAAGGACAACCCTCGCTCAATAACACGCGGATCATAAGAAAAATGCCACGCGCACCGTCCAATACCCTATACTGTACCTCTTGAGTGTCGAGTTTCGTGGCAGGTGGAGACACATAGTTCTCATCCATCGCGCGTGCTATTTCCAATGGCAGGAAGGCGCTGTTAGGTTTCAGAATGTAATCATGACTACCGGTCGGAAACTATCGTTGCGTAGGAAATGAGAAAGATCATTTCGTGACACAGCACATCAGCAGAGAAAAATCAATTCCTGACTCAGCACATGAGCAGAGAAAGTGTAGCAGCCTTCTTACCAATGTGAAGTTTTAAGGAGAGTTCGTGAGCGTCGGAAATGTCGCTCGCAACAGCCGTTGGCGAGGGTATTACCCGAGCATGGTTGGGTCTCGAGTGCTTCACACCCACATTCTTTTCCGTGTGTCCTCTTCTCGTCGAAATGTACAGGAATCTGCAGCTTGTAAGGCCATCGCCCGACGCAGCGGTGCTGCAGCCTCGGGGTATTATTGTCAATGCTGCGGAAGGAGAAGGGAGTCTTCAGGGTGATGTTCCGTTAGAGTTTTGCGCCAGGTAAGCATAGTGCTGAAATCACTACGGAGGTACGCTAGGTGGTACACATGATCTGTCGTTCGCTGTCCATCTAGGCTCCTCGGTACTCCATACTGAAATGTTTTGGTCACGGACGATTTCTATGCCATCATGAATGGCGCCTGGATGGGAAATCGCGATACGAGGCAGTACTCGGCATTGACCTCTCTCTTATTCACATGCTGTACTCTTCGCCCGAAATTGTTTCAAGTACATACATGGATACCAAGCGGTATTTATATGTTCGTTGACGCGCAAGGTGCTGTACACGAACGTGCTACTCAATCTTGCGGTTAGGTTTCCTCCTTCGCGTGACAACACACAGCGTATTCCGCCTTGGGTCCTCAGGCACGCAACGTTGGAGAAACCGGGGGGGTTCGTCAGCGTTGTGCGAAAGTGCTGCAGACGGACCGGAACATTTCTCTCTATCAGTAGTATTTCATTGCAGCCTCTCCGGTGTGCCAAGAGAGAACGACACACGCTCTCCCCCCGCCCAGCTCCCGCACCTCTCGCTACCCCTCCGTTGGTCTGTCTCTTCTGTTGTGAATTCATCCGTTTATCGCGGTCTCTCTGTCCGTCTCTGCCTCTCTGTGCTATTCTGGGGCGAAAAGGTCATACTCCGACCAACAGACGACGCTGGCAGCGCTATCCGTTCGTGTCCACGGGGAGCATGAAGCGTGGCCGCTCCCAACGAAGGGGAGACTAACGGGATTGGTGGAATTCATCCCCTTACCCCCGTGTATGGCGAGCGTATGCAACGCCACCGGTAGGTCCCCTGAACGTTTGCATGAACCTGTAGTTTTCACAGTACAGCATACCTGCTTCTTGTGGTGTAGTCGTTCGCCGCAGAGACGTTTCGCTTTTTTCACATTTGTGGTACTTTCTATCCTTCGTTAGTGTCTTGAACGCGAACGTCCCAAGACTGAGAATAGGTATGTCATTATACGGTTTCTGCAAAAGTTATATCAGTAAAGAGCCCTGCGAATGCTGTGTTTTTGGTATACAGATATGGCAATAGATCTATGCATACTTCTTTGGTAATGGATACGAAAACGGAGCGGACCGCCGGGAGTTAATCCGTACCATAGAGCTAGAGACCTCTCGTCGACGTTCAGCTTCGGCACCTTCAATAATAGTGTACCACAGGCTCTGAAGAGGTTGTTCGTGACTCTTCTGTCTATGAGATGATAGCAAACGAGACACAACCCAGCGTGACCAACAATAGCAAGCGACTCAATACCCAATAGTTCTACGTTGTTTTTGGTCACGATGATGATTTTTTAGGGTTGCGAGGGCTTCTCGCGGCGATGAACGGCTGTTTTGACACCAGGGTGGAGGTTTTCCGGCTGTTCGTGGCCGATCTGTTCATGACAACCAACCAAGTGAGCGAGTTTCCCCCCGGTTGGTCAGTAGAGTTTGCAACTGAACAGCCCCTGCATGCGTAAGGTTCATCATGAACTGTTTCGAAGACCTGCTTCGCCGCGCGGATCCTAACATTTTGTCCTCATCATCTATGGGAAAGAGAGACAGTTGTGTGAGGCTGTTCGCAACACTCCCTTCTCGAAAAACTCGATAGAGCAAGTCACTTGTACACTTCTTGGCAAGCCTTGTTTATTGCATTCAACATCCATTGGTGGGATACAGGGCAGTGTATTCGCAATTTTGTCATTGGGGTTGCACACGCGGTAACTTGTTGATTGGTCTCATGCTATCAATCCTAACAAAGATAGCCGGAACAAAAATGCTGATTATGTGCACCTTGCTGTCTGTAAATGGTAGGTCCAATGGCTGATCGAACAGCTAGCTGGGGGGCCGAATGTGCTCAACAGCGCCGAGATGCTGAAAATGATGGCAGCCGTGTCGCCTCAGGTATCTTTCTTGGCGTGGATACTCTTGTACTACAACAATAAAATTCCAGCCCCCGCCACCGCGCTGTATTCTGTACGTGACACGTTCGGTGTTTTTCAAGAGGAATATGAGTAATCGGTTTAGGTTGGAAACAAAGCGTAGGTAGGTCAATCAATACACAGCGGAAAGAATGACATCCGGCCCTTTGCACAATCAACGCTCTCCCGTGCCCTTTTTTTTGGACCAAAAGCTATTCGACAATACCGGGCTGCCAGACCTGATTGAGCGGAATCTGTCTCCCATGGGAAGGAAGATGCTCGAGGTGCAACTAGGACAGGTAGGTCAGGATCTTGTATTTTGCAGCCTTTCTCAGCTTTGTGTGCGGGATCTGCCCAGTGGTAGTAGCCATCAGGCTGTATCAGACGATGTTCGTCCTCACTCACGACGAGTTGACGCCAGAATTACTTTCCGGCCGTACCCCCTTCGCCCCCCCAATCAATTTCGTACTTTCATGACAATTCATCACATTTCGATCAGACACTCGTGTGCGTTGTATTCCCTACAATCTAGATCATTGTCACCAGGCCGTTAACGCGTCTTCTTCTGAAGCTTCATAGTCAGTCGTGACTATCTAAGAAAATCATGCCAATCTGTTGCGCCGATAAACATCAGGAAATACATACCGTTCACTGTCGGCATTTCAAAGGGCTACCCCTAAGTAAGGTGGTTCATTGGTTTCTTCTCTATTGTTCTACCACTTATTTTCCACCCAAATACATTATTTACGGGAAACCATGCACATGTATACTTTCGTCACGTTTCCCATACTTCCTAGTTGCGGAAACACGTCCTATTCACACCATGTTCTCCTTTTCTCGGGTATCCATTCCGCCTACACTCCCGTTCCGCCAAAGTCGTTCATTCTCAGCTGTCGAACTTTGGTCATGTTCCTTTTCAGGCGTACCCGGCGTTTACGGGCGGTGTCAGTGGACCGTTCTTGCTGGATCTGCGGTTTTCTAGGCATCGGTTGGCGGCGGTTAGGTTGGCCGAGGCAGAAAACTTTCAAACTCGGTGAGGAACGGAAACAATCCATACTTCGATAATAGCAGTCCATGCTCTGGCCATCGAAGCATTTCCTTCTACACTAGAAGGCCCGCTTGACCCAGCGTGAGTGAACTTTTATACCGTACGTTTTGGCGGCAGAAGCAGGGGTCCTACTGTGAACTCGGCGACCGAAGTCGTACGTTGCCACAGCAGTGCGTGCGCGTGTTCCATGATTGAAGCTACGTGAACATGATCTGAGGCTGTCGCAATAAATCAGCGGGGAGAACGTGCGTGAACAAAGTGGGAGTTGACTCTTCAGTGTGTTTGTTCGTGACAATTGTTGGTCGATCCGAAGCGACCGTGGGACGCACTTAGAGGGCGACAGTATGGCGACACCGCGAGAGAACGAAGGAGTCGAAGACGAGAAGCAAAGCGAGGAGGAGGGTGCTGATAGAGGAGCGTGTCGCGAGAAGCATGTGCTACACGAGCTGCGGCAATGGTGTGGCTTCAGGTGAGGCAATGGGCCGTTTCGCTCCTTCCCCCATTTAGGCAAGGAATCTTGCGTGGAAACTGGACGGTGTCGGGCAACGGGTAGTTGGAACGCCCCTTGGTCCTACAGCGTAACACGACTGGTGCCGGACTCCACAGACCATAACACCCTGGCCATGGTGACTTTTTCCTCATTGGAAAGCATGGTGATTGCCCTGTGCCATCGCGCATTCGGTCGAATCGAAAAAAGAATGTGAGGGACTGGCGGTGGTGGCCTTACCAAATACGTCAAGAACACCTTGTAAGCAGAACTTGTGTGCTGGAAAAAACGCAATAATTCGGCAGTCGCACCCTGTCAAACGCGTGATAGCGGTGGTTGTAGAGACAGCCGATGAAATCGCCCCCAACGGTGTGGGTGTTTCTGTGTTCGAACCATGTACCGTAAATAGCCGGACCGCCGCGCACACGAAATGGACAGGAACGTGCGATATAGACCTACTCGAGCGGCCGCGGCTGCTTCTCGTGCCGGCGAAGACGAGGAAGTCGACGGTGGTGGTACAGATGATACGAGTGATGAAGAAGCGAGTGCCGTCGGCAACAACAATAGCATTGGCGACGAGAATTCGGTAACCGCCCCTGCCTGTGTTGCCGACAATGGTCTTGGCGAGCCGACGGCCAAGTTCTTCCAACGCGGTACGACGTGTACCCGGATAACTTTGACTTACGCCTCTAAGTGTTACATTCTTTTCATGGGACTTGTTTTCTTCCCGTCATCTCATCTCTCCCTTCGTGTGCTTTACTACGGACAAAAATCTTGGCCTTTCCCCCCATTTAACACCGTGTGCCACTTCTGGATTTAGCAATTCTGCCGCAGTGCGGTACGACAGCTGTACTACAACTTTACGACACAAGTCGACCGGCAACATGGGTCATCATCGTCAACCGACGCTTGTACACGAACAATCATGCCTATGAGCAGGTCTCCGCGACAAACCAACCGGAGTGCTCGAGCTGGAATTCGTGTGCCTGTCTAGGCCGCCCGAAGGGACGCAACCCATCAGTGATCGGCGTCTTGCGCGGTTACTCAACAGCTGTGGCATGTTGGACCCACACTATTGGTGAGAGGGGGACCACGGAATACTACCAGATACACAAGATACTTTTCACCAAGAGTATTCTGTCGCCATGCCATCGATGAGACTCCCTGTACCGGCCGGTGGCCCAGCTCGTTATTCGTTTGGTCGTTCATTTGCACTTGTAGTTGACCGCTGGCCCGGCGCCTTGTTGGCCTACTTACCAATATTCGACGGATACCGCACGTTCAAGAATCACCCCTCGCCTAACGCGGCGAAACGCCTCTCGAGCTCTGGTGACAGGGGTAGCTCGCTCTGTGGCGTTGGCGTTGCTCAGTCGTCCGCGGTGCTGCTCTTTTGATTCGCCGCGATCGTCCACTAGAGGTGGCCCCGATAAAGCCTTTCGCTTCCGAGCCCAAACTCGATTGATCAAGAAAAGATCCATAAAAAAAGCACAACAAACGCCGTTAAGCGCGTTGGTACCGATCGAGGGGCTGCTGTTTACAAGGTCTAGAGTTTGATTGCATTCCGTCTTTCCCCAGCAACCAATTTTCGGTATCTCGTCCAACGCGAGAAGGAGCGCATTGTCGAACGGCTCGACAGATAGGTGTGCTGCACGAAAAACAGACCCTGCAGCGATCGCCCGCGGAGAGAGGCCGACTGTCCCCATTTTTCGTCGACCGTGGCGACGGGGAGAACATGTCCCGGAGAGTAGGTCCCTCCCACACGCTAGGCGGCAGAGAAGCGCACCCCCCGACAGAACTTCGATTAACAAAGAGTCTCCCACCCGCGCTTGGGTCGCCTGCTTCTCCTAAGCCTCCAAGACCGTGGACCACGAGTCCGCACCCGGGCAAAGACTGTCCATTGTGGCCGGCCCCGCTATGAGAGCTCCAGTCTCGTATTGTCCTCGCGCCGCTGTTGCCGGATGCCGAGCAAGAAGTGCTTGACATCAGGCAACAATGACCCGCCACAGAAAGAAGGGCGTAAAGCAGGGCCGCCCCCTTTGACGAGACGCAAAGGTAAAAAAATACCGTCGTAGTGCACGATTAAGGTTGGCTCGGAAAGGATCACGGAGCCTCGGCTGGAGGGTGCCGTAACGGCCGGCCAGGCCTCCATATTCCACGAGACCTAACAGTTCCAATCGAAGCCTTGATCCCCGCGTTGTTTGTCCCAAAGTTGAGTAAATTCGATTTGATCGCCAATACGACTAAACGTCGTGGTCACGAAAAGCACAGTTTTCGTTTGCATTGGCCGTGCTTGCTACACGCCCCCTGACGCTTGATCCACCCGAACCCTATCCCGGGGCCATTCCGATCCGACCAAGCTAAACCTCCTGGACAAATTGTCGTGTTGGGTACGGGCTTGTAGCCTCGGGTGAAACTGCAGTCAATCGCACACCAACTCCTTGCAAAAATGCCAATCCACGCCGCATTCATCCAATAACCGATCTCCTCGCCAACCCCTCTCTCAAGGTCGGAGTACATGCGGCCAACGAGTTTCCCCGTATCGTTCGTCGACCTCATACGCCTGCTGCGGGTTAAGGGGAGGGGCGACAAGAGGCAGGCAAAGATCTTGGTGCTCTTGCTGAGGGTAAAGAACTCCATGTTACGCGCCGCTCGGGTGGCAAGACCGCGACAAGGTGAGGAGGCGATACCGATAGACCCGCATCCGGGACGTCTCGAGGGGGGGGTGATCGCCAAGGTTATCTTCTCGTTGCGTCATCCACAGCGGGATTTTCTAGACTTGCGCCCTGAGGATTTGGGGCTGCAATTTTCCCGGCTTGGTGTTCTTGTGGAAGAGACCCCCAGGTTACCTATTCACCCCTTCTGATGATGCGCGACAAGTGCAAAAGTAGAGGCCATCTACTTCCTTTCTCTTCGTGTTTCCTTTTTACACCGAATACATTGTTTTTCTTCCCCGATCTCCTGCAGAAAGTTTCTACAGTGTGCTGCTACCGAAGCTCTTCGTGTTTCAAAGACCAACAGACAAATATATCCAGCTCTCGGATCATGGGTTTAGTTCGTACCGCAAACCGATGGCGTCATTGACGCCATCCCCGTCGGCGTTCGTCCCCACCAGCGACAAAGGTTGTCCCTTGAGATTCATCTCGTCACCTCCTCATCCCCTTGTTCCACCAAACCGCGCTAAACGACACGACCGCCAACAACCGATCGATACCAACTAATCCTCGTGGCCGAAGGATTGACCGGCATGCGCTGCGTACGATACCGGGTCGGCGGCGCGGCGAGCGCGATCGTAGGGTCCACTAGGTCGACGCCGACTCTCGCGTCTACCGTGGTGAGCGCCACCTCCAGGTCTCCGAAGAAGACCGCAACTTGTGCGCCAGCGGCGGCGGCTACTGGACACGACTCTTCCGTGACGTCACCTGAGGTTGGACCCGCTTCGGGCAAGGGGGATAGAGCTGACGGGGGCGTTTCCCCGCCTGAGCATTTGGATCCGAGTCGACGTGACGAAACATCTGTCAGGACCGCTGCCGCCTCTGGTGCTGCGGACGACAGCCCAGACAAGGACAAACATCACGGTAGCGAGGAGCAGAAGCAGGTCGCCCGAGTGACGGAGGAGGAACTCACGCCCGTACAAGCGGCCGTCCTGGCGGTTGACAAAAGACTTAAAGGCTTGCTGGAAGCGGGGGGGATTCTTCGCGGCACCACCAGCGGACGCGAGTGTCTACAAGGATTCCCCCGAGGGACGCCTGTTTGGGAAAACCACTGCGGCAGGGTTGGGGGTCGAGATGAAGGCGGCGGTGGTGGACGTCGTGTTGTCGGCGCCAGCGATGTCGTCGACGACGAAGATGTGGCGGGCGGCGCCATGGGGTGGGCGAGGAAATTCTGCGAGTCCGACGATGGTCGTTTTCCCTCTGACGAAAGCGGGGAAGGTATTTCTCTGGGCAAGGTGTTGGCGAAGCACGTGGTACGTGACGGGGACGTGGGACTGGTAGGGACCAGGTGAGGGCCGCTCTATGGCGAACAGGAAGTCTGGCATGCAAGATTGCAGTCGCAACGAAGAAATAACGGCCGTAGCCATTGTGAAAGATTTGCGTGGTCTGCAAAAACGTATCCCAGTATCTGAAGCCTCCCTCTTGTTGACGTGTTGGTCCTGATGCTTTGATGGACTAATCGAACAGCCCGCCGACGCTGCTAGTGCATGGCTTATGCATCCGCGTGAGGCACGCGGAGAGCAATCGTGTCCTGAGGGTCAAGCGGCACCCACCGGCCAGCGGCCACGGCGAGGACAACGCCGAAAGACATGAGGTGACACATCGCGTTGTATGGGAGGCACATCCCTTCAACTCACGTCATGTTCCACGTTTTGTCGTGTTCGTCACCGACGTCCTTCACAATCCTCGCATAGATTGTGCAGATCCTGTGGGAGTATCTGGCCACTGCAAAGAAGCATGTTGATTAATTCGTGTACGTTCCTGTTCAACGACATGCCGTATAATCAGCTGAAAACCGCCTTCCGCCCCCCGAGGAAGAACGATTGACACCCATTCCTCCCGCTGACCACGTACCGAGCAATACCTAGCGCACGCACATCCCATCCCGCCCTCCATTCCTATCATGACGAAACGTACATATTCTCACACACTGCTCTCTCCAGAATTCACTGAAATACACGACCCGGTGGGGTAGGGAAGAGTGTGACTGCGTTTGGTCGACCGGGTGTGGGAAACGCGGGTGGGCTGGTCTCCCTTTATGAGCAAATGATACATCACATGGAGCTACGGTTAATTCCAAGCAAAACACAATTGTCGTCGTGTGTGCGTAGTAAACGACTGTGAATATCCGTTACCAAGCTCAATTGTTCCCGTGCCTTGCTGATGATACCGAACAAATAATGCCTGCGAGACTATTAGGATGAGTGGGCATCGGTAGCTCGTCAAGGAGTGAAGGGGTGTCGCTTGAGGATCGGCACCAAGAAAGAAGTGGCGTCCGCGCTGGCGGCGACCTTTGCCGGTCTCACCAAGCAGCCGAACCTGGCTAGGTACGATACACATACACCGACTGCTCCTGTCGGTACTCATGTGAACGTCGAAGGTTTTGGAACCTCGAGAGAAACAACGAAGCTGCTCCCATCGTTTCAGTGTGCTTGCTATTTGAATAACGTGTGGTAGTTCGATAACGTTCCTTCGTGAGCCAGAACAAAACAAACAACCCCCGGACGAAGACATTTGAACAACGAAAGACAATTAATGTGTGTGTGTTTCACCCGGGGAATGCTGACATAACCACACTTCAATATGAAACTGCGGCAGCACCAGCACCAGCAGCGCGGCCACGCCGCGTACCCTTGGCACGCTGGATATGACCACAGACAAAGGATGGCGAGAGCTTTTCGTCCCGCCGGAGCTCTTAGTCTCGACCGCCGTCACAGAGGCCGGGCCGCTGCAGCTAACGCTCTTGGTAAGTACTCAAATAGGCGCCTTCGCTCTGTGTGATCACCAATCCCATGAAACCCTTTGCACGACTGGCCGTGCTTGGGACGGGTCTCACTTTGGCTCTCCAATTCCATTCCTTCATCCAGCCCGTTCGGATCCCCGTTAACTGAAACAGCATGGTGGCTCACACAAAGCGATGCAGTTCGGACGCTCTTTGACTTGCTTTCCTGTATCAACCTGACATCACCCTAAAAAAACTGAACAACGCAACGAGTTGAAGCTTGTCGGACAGTGGACGCGAAGATGGCATCCGAAAAGCGCTGGTACTCTTGTCTTCACTTCGTGCACGGTCCAGACATAAGCATGCCCGTGCGTTCTTTCCGGTTCGAGTTTGGAAGGTAACATTCGTGGAGGTGTCGGCGCAGTTCTTGCCGAGTGACTGCTTCGTTTCGTCGGAGTTCACCACCGTGGATCACCAAGGAAATATGGCCACCTTTGAGTGGGTACCGCTCGAGGAGACGACCGAGGCAAGTCTGACAAGACCTTACATGTAGGATGGGCGGGGCCGCATACATTCCTTGATCACGACGAATAATAGTTGGACTTACCCCATGACGCAGAATGAAGTATGATACATGGTACACCGAGCATATAGCTGGGAAAGAGTTCCTGGTAACATGAAACGGACGTGTAATTAGGACAGGAAGGAGGCACCATAGATCACGGGTTGCGAAGCCACAACCCCTCTCCTGGGTATATGTTGTGCGCGCCCACTGTTGCTTGTGTTTTCGCAAAATTTAGACACGTACAACGCGCATGCAATTTATGATGCGGCTGCCAACTGGCGCTTGATCTTCCCGACGGAGGGTGCTACCGGCAAGTATGTCGTAAACCGGTCGGTTGGGTTCGCACGAAACGGCAGGTGGTGAACACCAGCCCCGAACCCAATCTCTCGCAATCCCTGGCTCAGCTGCGGGTGAGGCTGGGCGGTTCCTGGCTTTCTAGCGCTCAGGCGGCCACCGTTGCAGCCGTCGTTCCGCGTGTACTCGGCGGTAAGAACGATGCGGAACAGTTCTCTCGTCCCCCCGTAGAATATCGCTGTCTTGTTTCTCCAGCCCTCCCTTGTAGTTGCCAGTTTTAGCGTGGTTGGGACTTTACATGTGATGCGTCAGCAAGCGACTTGTGATGCATGAACTTGATCGGGTCAATCATGCACTTTCAGATGGGCGGGAGCGATGGTCTCCGTTTCTGTCGGCTTTGCTCGGAAATACGGTCGAGTAAGCCGTCAATATATACTACGGTCAATATTCTGTGTGACGGTTTGGATAGATAGGTACATTAGACGGTTGGGTACACATACGGTGAAGTTTACGGCGACCTTTACAGTCGTATTCGATACGGTCGACTACACGGCTATACGAGGTCGAGTATTTTTCTGGTTTTACTATCGAATGTACGGCTGTGCGGTCAGCATGCATTCGTTGTAGATATGCCGTCGACCATACGGTACATAGTACGTTCGGTATACGGTAGGGTAAAGTACGGTCGTATTTTCGGTGTACAAAGATAGCTCGCATCAGCGTTGTTGAAACACACAACACGGTGTACTTACCTCGGTCGATAAACAAACATGCCGACAGGAGTGCACTACCGAGTGGATGTGGCAGTGTTCCTCTTCAGCCGAGTGGTGGATCTGGAAAACTACCGACAGGTCGGTGTTTCTTGTTGATGTTTGCTGCAACGTCGTTTGAGACTTTTGTGTTGGCTCGATCAAGGAACATCCACGGGGGGATTTAGATGTGCCATGTTCATCCACACGGTTCGGACTAAAACGTTTGCTATGCCTGGATTGGGGAACTACATGAAAAACAAACGTGGGTGTCCTTTGTCACTACTGTCGATCGTTCTTTGTACGCCTTGGATGGATTGGGTTCGACCTCCTGCCCAAGGGCGGATGGGGTCGTCACCTGGGATGTGTAACGGCGCTGAGCGCGAAGTGGCAGCGCGACGGCACGTCGGGGCACGTCCAGGAGAAATCAACTACTGTCTGTAGACTTTGTATTGGAAAATGGAAAACTAAAGAGCGAAACAGAACACCCAATTGTAGACGGGACGAAACTGAAGCTCGGACCCTGCCGAAATAAGCTTCTCCTCTTGGTTCACCATATTCCCTGTCTCTCCGCACCGCGCTTTCCCATTTCCTTGTGCGTCGTACCGAACGCAATAGAGAGGGCGGACAGCAGTTCACAGTCTTTCGCGAGGTCAACAAGACAAGACAAGAGTGTATGTCACCCTAAAGTGAAACCGTTCCAACGAGAAATACGCAGCGACCAACCCTGCCCTTCTCGTCTCACTGGCAGGTGATTGAGACCCTCCACGAGAGAAAACGACCGCAGTTGCTCCTCCGCCTCGGCAATCTGGACGCCTTGTGCCCAGTACCCGCGTTGTCATCAGCAGCAGCAGCGACGTCGACAAAATCAGGAACAGCTCCAATTACAAGGCTTAGCAGTTCTGCCTGACCGAGAAGGGTTGGCCGCACCGCCTTGTCATCAAAGAAGCTCGAAAGATAATAACGAGAGTATCATCCCGACCACAGGTTCACATTACATTTGATTCACTTCAAAATTGCGCCAGGCTGGATCTGTAGCTCGTTCTTTTTTTGCACCTGGTGGGGTGGGAGAAGGATGATGGAGGGAGGTGAAAACCAACAAAACAGGTCGTCACCTCTAGGTCTGGAGAGCGTACTATTTCTTGGAAGGCGAATGAACGCAGCCCGTCTGTGGTGATGTGTCAACCACACCTTTTCGTGCGAAAGGGGTCGGATATCGTTGGTGGTATGCTCGGCTGGAAACGGTCTCTGATTGTCATGCTTTGTCGCATGTCAGGGGCTTCATCTCGCTTGTAGCAGGAACTCACCCCAATCCGCACAACGCCACACACCCACAGATACATATTGTAGGCCGATCGGGGTGATAGTTTTCGAAGCAGCCCCGACGAATATATTGTGCCGTCGCGGTGGAGCCAACTTGTTAACGCGCGCCTCAATCGACGCACGCAACGTTTGTTACGAGAAGCAGCTAGGGCGCGCCGCCCGGAAGGCTGCAAAACCCTGCGCCAGTGTACCTAGCGCATCGATAATGCAAGCGTCTGTCCATGGTGTGCGTGCCCCGTTTACACAAATCGAGTCTCGTTCCAGAAGGAAAAAAAAAATGGAGTAAAAATTAAAATCGCGGACCGTCTCCAAAAGTAGGCACCCGCCAGCCAGAGAGATCTTCGCGAGGTGACCTGCGCACAAGAAACACACAACAATACGGGCCCAACAACAAGCATCCCACAACGCAGCAGGCGAAGCTCTTGCATGCGTTTTACCACACGCGAGTCCTGCCCGGAAGACTTGACCCGCTTGGAAGCCGTTTGCCACGTGTACGTACCTCAATACCCTTCCCTTCCCTTTCGTCTGAAACAAACCCCCAAAGAACAGCCCGCTGCAATGAAAAGCGGAAATTAAAGAGAGAGAGAGAGAGCAACACACCGTTACGAGTGTAAACAAGACGCACATGCATACAGACATACAGACATACAAACGACACAACCCAGGTTTATCGACCGCAGGGCTTTAGGGGCAAAAAAATGCCTACGCGCGAGACCGCATATATGTGCAATATACGCATATCATATGTACGCCAAACTCGCCCCACACCAGTACAGTACCACTTAAGGTGTGGCGGCCAGCCTAGTTCTACAGGCGGATCAAGTCCAAGCAAGCCCAAATGTCTGCCGCCGATATACCGGTTGCCCGCCCGGGGTATATCATACACCCATTCTTGCACCACTGCCGTAGCTTTCACTGTGATGTCAAAAGCAGTCCTACCGGCCTCCAGGGGGGCGACATATCTAGTACCAGGTATCTTACAGCAGGCCGGTCGGTGCTACGTCGAGACCTCAGTCAAAGTCGAACGGCGGCAAGAAGCAAAAAAAAAAAAAATACAACGGCAGCTAGACGACGACTTTCCGGCGCATCATGCCCGAGGCACTCGCGGCACAACAACTCGTACCCCATCTCACTCCTAGCTCTCCTCTGTGCTTGTCCCTCGTTCTCTCCCCGTTCATCGGCCCTTCCCTCTGCCCGCTTTCGCGATGCCAAGCACGAGCCGGCCAGGAGCAAGTGCGAGGCGGCATCGCAACCCACCCTAGCTGCTCTCCCGCTTCCTCCCAGACATCGAAACACATGATACTGTTGTACGCAAGAAAGAGGACGAGTGCTCGCCCTCTCCCTCTGTGTCGGCGTGTTTATCTCTCTCGGCGCTGCTGCTTCTGTAGCAATTGCTGCGAGCCAAACCCAAATTGTGTCCAGTGACGCACGCCCAGTCCAGTTTCTCTCAACACCAACCTATCAGCCTCAAGAGACAAGAACGGGAAGCCGCGCCGGTTTCCCATGACACACCCGCACGCAACATCTCTAGGCAACGACGTACCCCCCCCCCCCCCTCCCAAGTCGTCTGGCTACCTAGTGCAGAGTCCCCCCTCCCCGGGTTGATTCAAGTCTCCGAGCTCGTTGGCG